CAAGATGATCGTCAATATCAACGTGAATACCAACACCAACACCAGCATGAAAATCAGCATTAACAGGAACAGCAGCACGAACGTCGGTATAAAAATCAGTATGAGCATCAACAACAACGTGGATATCAACATCAGCAATATCTTCAACTCCAACAACAGTAGGAATATCAACAACAAGATCAGTGTAAAAACCAACATCATCGACAACAACAGCATGAACCAACGTTAATCATATCATTACAATCAAATATGAATAAAACATCTAATGAATTAACTAATAATGATATTATATTTGATACAGATAAAGTCTTGATACGTACTGAACCATCATTAAATGAACATAGTAAACAACGATCAACAAATAAATATATTCTAAATAGGACACATAAACCATTAATGAATTCAAAAGATCAACTAAATACTAATATTTCATCAATTTCACCATTAAATACAATACCTTCATTCGATACAAGAAATATAGATACAACAATAAATCAATTGTCGATCAATAATTCTATTTCGACATCTAATACATTAAAAGATGAAAACTTAGAATGTTCATTTGAAATTAATCACTAAGCAATACAACATTATTTGAACACACCAGTACCACATAAATCAATGGATTACTATACACGATTAATAAATAAACATAAAAATCAACTAACAACACATGAATTAGTTACAACAACTTATACGTCAATTGAATTAAAATCAAGATTTACAATTCCAACAGGTGATCAAATAACTAAGCATGATATATATCCACTAACAAGCAAAATAGATGACTTAAACTCAAAGTTTACAGACGCGTCTAACATTGAACCGATGGAATATAATTCAACACCAGCACCATGTACAATAACCACTTTTAAATCAAAATTAAAATCAAAATTTAATATTCAAACAATAACACATGAACCAGATACAACATCTAATACATTATATGAGGGTAACTTAAAAACTAAAAAACCACATAACATTCAATCATTTGATAAAATAACATCTGATGATCAATTAAATAAACTTAAATCAATTCCATTATTAAATAATACAACTGAATTAAAAACAGAAATAAAATGTACAAGAAATAATAAAAAATCAAATAATATTAATTCAATGACATATAAAACAATCAACTTGAACAAAAATATTGATGCATTAACTAGTCAACAGCATAGATATAACCTTAGAAAAATTGGTAAGCGAATGTTAATTGCCAATTATTAGCATGATATTATTGATTGATCAAAAAATGATAATATAAATAATAATATAAATGTTAAATTACTAACTGACTCTGATAAAACATCGAAATTAAATACATCATCTAGAATTAATAATAAAAATATAGTGGTGAATGACAATCAAAATATTTTACAAGATAAAATAACACAATCAAGTACATTAACTCAATCCAAGAGTAACATCAAAATTAAAAAAGCTGATGAATCAAATATTAAGCAACAGAATAACATTCCAGAATTAACTAGTAGTTTTATATATAATAATGAAAGTAATCTAACTATGGAAATAACAAACAATAAGTAATGTAAACAGTTAATGGTTACTAGTGATCAAAATGTAACTAATGAATCAAACGAAACTAAGGTTACAATGAGTAATACATTATGTAATTTAGTAAAAATTGATAATTCGTTAAACCAGGTTGAACTAATCAATATAGATAATTGTAATAAAGAATCAATTGTTCTAAATAACAAAGACGATATGGAGTTAATAGTAAAGAAAAAGAGTTCAATTTTCGATCATATAAAAGAAACAGGACATACAGTTGATTGGAAAAACAACAGAATCATTTGGACTGATAATATACCACGTAAACTTTTGATTAAAGAATCGGTAATAATAAAAACGTATGAACCTGAGTTAAACAAAACACCTCATTCAGTACCTCTTTATATATTTCCAAACAATATGGAAAAGAAATGCTTACCGAGATTTATATAAATATCCATATTTATATCGCATGTATCTATGTATATATACATATATATTTCTTTCTATGTTCTCTTTCTTTTCTGTTTTCTTTCATTTCGCTATTCTTCTTACCATTAGCTCACGTATATCGGCTAAAACGCGTAACGCCTCAACTCAGGGGACCAGACTTTAAAAATTTCGATCTAAATATCATGACTATAGTCTCCTATAGTATAGCATCAAATGGTTGGATGTTGTCCTAGACTACAACTCCGAGAGGCCAGACTCACATCTATCAAGTTCTCAAGGACCCTCATAAAGAAAAGCAGTACTTAATTTTCTGGCTTTCATCATCGCGTTACGTTAATGTGACAAAAATATCACCCTCCATAAAAAGATCTTCAGAGATTTTTTTTTTCTTTCGTTGAATAGACCGAAGTGTTTTCTATTACTTGCTGATAGAAAAGTTTTGCAACAGTAGAACATATTCAGAGAAAAACAAGCAAAAAGTGAAGCATCCGCAGTTTTTTATCCCTAATTCATCATCGCGTTTTGTAGTATACTTTTACTGTAATTTTCAGACGGATCGTTCAAATGAGGTAATATTTTCACAGATTGTGGGGATGATAGAGGTACATCTTTCACCAAAACGATAAATCTTTTACACTACCTAGTTGTTAAGAAAAGCTAATAAAACTGTAGCCAAAACGTCATCGCGTTACGCTCGGAGAAGCCGATATATATATATTTTATAATATAGTTCAAAAGAGCGTTCTACTGTGTTTTAACTATTTCCTTCTTATATTGAACAAAATGTATAGTATATTTTTCTAAAAAATTTTATTCGGTTTATATCGTGTATTCTTATGATGTATGACAGTTTTTAAGAATGTAATAATTTTATGTCAAAACTTGTGTAAATTTCTTGATAATGGCTATTTAAATGGCCGAAACGTTGAATAATTAATAAATTCTTTAATAGTAAAATTCTAATATTTTCATTAAATGAATTTACAAAATGCCGTTGTTATTAGTAACAATTTATTAGAAGTTTTGCCCTTAAATAGATTCAATATTTATGATTTGATTTTTGTCTAAAGGTTACAGAAGTTTGATTGACAAATACAGCATGAAAACAGGCTCCTGTCTTTATAAAAGAACTTTGGAATTTTCTTCAATTTTGGTGTTTAGAGATCTTCTAGTAGTATATTTTGTGCAAAAATGTTTACTCTCTCAGTTCATACATTTAGATAACTTTGAAATAGGTCTTGAACAATAACTCAATCTGTTAATTATAGTTAACTACAACAAATAGACAAAATGATCGGAGTTTCAGCTCACTCTGTCATATCTTAAGAGATTCATGTGTCAAGCAAAGTAAAAGATCTCGTGTAGCAGCAATTCTAGAATCGAATGTACTTGTGATACATAGAAAACAGTATCAAAATAAATATTATGAAGCAACCAATCAATTTTATATCCGATAAATAGAAACTGTTAGTTGTCATTCGATTGTATGATATTTTTTCTAATAAATGACAGACAAAAGACCGACTATTTACCATTGTATTTCTAATATCTCAAGAATTAATCGAGATAAAACTATGATTTTTTGTGTGAGAGTGAAGACTTATTGGAGGATTGTTCCCTGAAAAAATTAAACTTTTCCATATAAGAATCAAAGAGTACAATAGTTTCTCAATTCTCCCATAAATAAAACTTATATATAAAAGAAAAAACTGTTTATTTCCAAAAACTTTTATTGAATTCTTAAAATTAAAAATTGTAGTTAAATATATTACATCAATTTGACTAATTTTTATAATGAATATATATAATATTTTATATATTATTAATGTTCATATGGTCGTTCAAGAAATTGTTCATTTCTTTCGGTTTTATTAGCACAAGGCGGATATGGATCACCTCGACAAGAAAATAATATTTCCATTGTTACACCATAATCTCTAGGATGATGAGAACACCAAACACCACCAACAGTAGGTGGTGAGCACCATAGAAGAGAATCCCGAACAAATACTTCAAATTGTGGATAAGGCGCTGGTACATTAAGTGGAATTGAATCTAAAGTAAAATTTAGTATTCCGTTGACATCTGTATATGTTTTTTTGGATGAATATGGTAGAAATGTCGACGGAATAGATTTTGTACTATTTAAAAGAAGATAATCAGGTAGACGAATACGTTCTTCACTCCAATAGAGAAAAAATTTTTTAATATCAAGTTGATAGACAATTGGAGTAATAGTTAAATCAGATGAAAAAGCCGGTAAAATTAATGTTCGATTTTGTAATTTTGTATGTTGAAGAATAAGAAGAGCACGTACAAGAAGATTTCTTTGACTAATTGACATATTCCTATTAAAGAAAGGATAAAAACTAAATAAATCAAAAGAAATTTTTTTTTTAGTTTTTCTACCCATTATTAACTTGAACTGTAAAATATTTTGATTTTTTGTCACCATGAAATTTTTTCGATCTTTTTCCAACTTTAGCTGCTTGATTAAATAATACAAAAGCACTTCCATCTGTCATAAAATGTGAAAAATGATTTCCAAAATCACACGTTGTCCAATTTAATAATAATGGTGTTGACGGTTTCATTGCTTTTAAATAAGTTTTATCTATTCGATCATAATTATTAAGTAAAGCATCAAGTACACGTTGATCAGAAAGATAACCACCTTTACCATGCCGCATCCAAAATTCAGCAACATACGAGAAAAATGCAATAGAGGCCTTGGATGATCGAACATAAAATAGGCCAATATTAACACGTGGATGAGCACCATAATGATGACTTATTTGTAGATCATATACATCGCTTGGTTGTTTTAAATAATTAAGAAGATTTTCTTTCCTATTATTAAAGTAGAATTTTTATTAATACATAGAAATTAAACTGTTTAATATTGTTAAGAAATTTTCTTACCAAAAAACATCTAATTCACTAAGCATAATTGAATATCCCATTTGAACAATTCTAGCTGACGTATCAAATTTTGCATGACCAACACGATAAAGTGAATGTTGTCGAACTTCAATTGTATTTATCCATTTTAATTGATGATTAAATGGAAATGTTGAATAATAGACTGGTATACCTTGTTTAACAGCTAAAATAACAGCAATTTCATCCATAGCAATAACAAAACAATGACAATTATTTGTATTATTTGATACTTCAAACATTCTTTCATACCAATCCCAAATAAATAAAGAATAACTATCACCACCAACTATAGTTGCAATTACTTGATTACGTGAATTTGCTTGTTGACGAAGTAATGAACGAAGATGATTATCACTTGCATATCGAGAAAATGAATTTGGATTTGATATCGATATTTCTTCAGATACTATAATCATAAATAAAGTAAAATTATGTTTTATTCAATACAAACTTTGTATTAGATGGGTTTTGATGAGAATTAAAAGTTATATTTATAATAATTCTACAAAACTCTATAAATTAGTTTTATATCATCAAGAACAAAATATACAGGGTGAACGATAAATAACAGTGCAATAAGAAATTTTAATGTCTCCACTTTGGCTTGATTTTTTTGTTATTGGTAGAATTTTATTCAAGGTTTTTCTTCATAAACGAATAATGTAAGCAAATATTACTATTCACTATGACATTGTTCGTATGAAGAAAAAAAATTTGAATAAAATTCTATCAATAACTAAAAAATTAGTCTATTCAGATTTCTTATTGTACTGTTGTTTATCGCCTACCTTGTATTATACCTTGATCAATAAGTTTTTTGTCTTTTGAATTCGTAGAAGATGATGGTAAGCTTTCGGGAATGATAATTTGACTAGAATGACTTGTTAAATATTGTTCATTGTTTTTTTCATATAAACGAAAACTAATAAAACTTAATAAAATGACTATAATTAATAATATCATTGTACAATGTAATCGACTAGTATATCGTGTTACTTTTCGTAATGTTGTCATTATTGACTTCTTTTTCTTATCTAAATATATATATGTATATAAGGCTAAAAATGTTTTATAAATTGTGTAGTTTCTTTCTATATCATTTTAAGAAAAAACAATCAAAAAAAAAGCTTTCATATACATGCATATAGTGTAACATTTTACAAAAATTTGTTGCGAGAGAAAAAAGAAAAAGAATGAGTAAGTAATGGCATTTGAATAGGTTATTAAAGAATTTTTATTTTTACTAAAAAGAAAAGAATAGAATATATATGTTAACACAAATAGAAATAGAAGTAAAATATTTCAACTCTTTTCTTCTACTTTAGCTAATGAATGTCTACTATGATATTCTGCTTATGAAGCGTTTCCGAGTTTTGAAAAATAATTTTCTAATGCATTATGAAACAAAAAAAGAAATGAGAAAAAAATTTTTTTTTATTCATAATAGTAAATAAATGCATGTTTGTACAAGAATCAATGTAATTTTTTTTTCTTGATTCTCAAAGAAAATAAATCAACGTTCGTTATATTACTACCGGCGTCGATATACATAAAATCTTATTCTTTTTCATTTCTTTTTTCACAGAACAGGAATTACAAATTGAAATATGTGTTCATGTCTTGATTAATCATAGTATAGATGAATGAAATGTAGATAATATACCTAAGCCATATCTTAATTATACTTCCATGCATATATACTCTTACATAGTAGAAAATTGACATTCTAACATTTATGATCAATAAATATGAATTGTGTACTTTTTGCTTCTATAAAGTCTGTATTGTTATTCTATTATATATTATTTAAAAATATATAATATTTATTCATTTCATAATACCGTTTTTCTTTTTATTATTCAGTAGTGGCCAAAATTATAAGAACAAACATGTTTTTCTTTTGTTTATTTTATTTTCCGGAACTTTTTATCTGCTTGAAATAGTGTATGTGTCTAGATATATGTATTTTGACATGCTCTATCCAAATCTGATGTCAGATTTCCTTCATTTCAATGTGAAGCAGAAGCTAGTCCATGTTTACTAAAAATCACGATTTTTGGCTGGCTAAAATTATAAGAACAAAAAGAGTATTTTATATTTTTTGTATTAAAGATAAATAAATTTAGCTCGAAAATGAAATAGATAGATAGAGAATTTCATTCTTAACAGTCTCATAAAAAAAAGTTCTAGAAATGATGTATGTTCGAATTTAAAACGATATTTTATTATTCAAGCAAAAATACTAGAAAATGACTGGAAAATGACACTTCATCACAGTTTTTCGGCTATTAGAACTTACATGCACATGTGAAAGATTTGCTAAGTAGTACACGAGAAAGAGGAGAGCTTGCGCTACAAAACAGCCAATTTTCTTTTTTCAAAACGCAATTTGTCACAACGATGAGGCTATTTTGAAATAAACATTAACTTTTAGCATCAAAATTGGCTTGAAATTACTGCTTTTTTATATTATAAATATGACGACCGTGTTATCGTTGTGACAAGTTGCGTTTTGAAAAAAGAATAATAGATAAATAAAAATAAAAGCAGTACTTGCTTTAGCTGATGTTTTTGATAAATATATCTTTAATTCCTTAACTTATTCTAACAGGAGGTTTTTAGTAATCTTTACAAATTTCACTTTATTTCTCTTTTACTAACATCAGTATTTGATGAATGAATCCGTTTTCAAGCGCTTTGAAAAGAAATTCACCGAAAAATCTTCTTAAGACGTAGATCAAATCGACAAAAATTAATATACGTCTCCAACGCTTATATTATTGCAAAGAAAAAAAAGATATAAAATGTATTGAGAATAGATGAAACATATTTGTATTTGTCTCAATAAATAGTTATAACAATATTTTATCATACGAAATGAAGATGTTTATTAATTTTGTATTATAATATATTTAGTTGTTATTAATAATCCTATTGATTAATATCGAAAGAATATGAATAAATAGCACAAATTTATGCTGTTTGTTATTTGTAATTGCCGATGTGATATAATACTGATTTTACAGTAAATTTCTTTTTTTTTTTATTAAAAAGAAGATTTAATCAACAGCTAACAACAAAATCATATTGTTCAATCAAAACTTACATAAGTATAACTGAACACACACACATACAAAAAAAAGACAGAAAGAATTATTCACTTTGTGACTGTTGAGTTTGACCAAAATTAGGTCGTTCCTGAGGTTTATAACGTGGTTGTCTTAACCATTCTCGTTGAAATGGTGGAGGAACATTATATTTTTGATATTGATTATTTTGACGTTCTTTTTCAAATTTTATATCATATACAGTTTGTTGATATGGCATATGAATTGGTAATTGATTTGATTCTTGTTTTGTTTGAGATGGTGAACATGGAGATTCTAATGAATGATTAAAAGAAGTTTCTGATCGATCGGATAATTGTGATGTAGAACAACGATAAGAAACTAAAGAGATAAAATAAAAATTAATTAGAAAAAAATAGAGAATTAAAATTTTACTCATTGTTTGATGTTTCGGTGGTCGCATATAAGTACGATTTGTTCTTGTTGATATTGATTCAATTTTTTTCGTTGCTTCAATAATATCAGTTGATTGTTGATGAGATTTCATTTTTGATGTAAATGATACTAAATCATTATTATTAATATTGTTTTCTAATGATTTATTAGATAATTGTTCAGTTATTTTATTAGTATTAGTAGCAAGTACATCTTCTTGTTGATGAATAAGAAGACTTAGTCGACGAAATGAATGTTCGACAAATGGAGAATAATTACTGTTAGAATTCATAATTGAGAAATCTGAAATAAATATTCCAAAGAGATTATGTAGAGAGTAATTATGAAGCAATTTTTAGTTTATTTCAATTGAAATAAATTTTTCCTATTTGAATATTGTAGACGAATGACTTTGAAGTATTATTTAAGATGTCTCTACTAATAGATAAATTAATTAAATTTAATAGAAATTATCCATACATAGAATCAATCTTATAATATTTATATGATTGTATAAAATCAAATGTGAATTTAAGAATAATTTAATAGAACAAATGAAAAACAATAATGTGACATGTATATCAACAGAAAGATCTTATGAACAGACTAACTTACATTAAAAAATGAAAATTATCAATGTTAAATTTTTGTGTTCAATGAAGTTATTTATATATTGACTCTTTCGATGATCAAAACAACTTTAAGAGAATGAATAAAGTATACTATATCTTGATGGTTAAAAATTCGTCCATGATCGATGATTATAATTGCCGTCTAGAAGAAAATAACAAAAAAAAATCAACGATTCAACGATTATTGGCTGACTGATAATGTTTACATGTGCTCGAACAATCGATTAGAATTGTTTTAGTTCATTGATAAATTGCTATAGCTTTTTTTCTTTTACAATTGAATATTGGTAAATGATTTTCTATTCTACAAAATACTTCATGACGAATATGAATGAAAACGATAAAATAAAAGAAAATCTAGTGATATTTTTCCTTCTGTGGAAAGACAAAGATGTAAATAATTTTTAAATCTATTTAATTCGTTTAAGGAGATTTTTATCTGAGATAAATTAGTTCATAGTTTTAAAAGCTTCCAGCAGTTATATTTCAATAAACTATTTCATTTTGGGTAAAAACATATAAGATAAATCTAACAATAAATACGAGCAAATGATTTGTTCGCTTTCAACTAATGAACAATAACAAAACATATAACATGTAAAGATAAGAGAACAGATTTATATTGAAACTAAACTAGACATGAAAAAGAAATATATCGAAATTCGAATCATGAATTTTAGTACGATGCGGATTTTGATAATAGAATAAATAGAAAAGGTTAGAATGGAGGTGTAGTAAATGGGGAAAAAGTGAGACTCCAGGAAAGACATGTTAGTGACCCACTTTCAAAAGTATTTAAAAAGAGTAGCTGAAAAAGAAAGAAAATATCTGTCTTGGAATTTTAAACATGAGAAAAACTAAATTTATTAGAATGAACATATTCGATTTCGAATTAAAATTCTTGTTTTCTTTTATTTTTCGAATAATTAAACAGAAGAAAAAAGAAACAGAATTTGACTGTATAAAAGTATTAATTATCATTATTGTCATCTGATAAATCATTTTCAAATTGATTTCTTTTTCTTTTTCCTTGTATCATAACTTGAAATTTATTTAAAAGTTCATCATTATGTTTTACAATAATATCACGTAATTTTAATGTTTGTTGATGAAAATCATTTTTATTTGCAATTATTTCAGTTGGAAAATCATTATTCACAAGTAATTTCAATTGATCAATTTGAATATTTGTTAACTGACGACATGAACATACTTCTGCAATGCGTTCTTTAACTATCTAAAATAAAAATATTTTCAAACTTATGATTTATTCCGAAAACAAACTTTTAATTGATTAGAATCTCGTTGAAGTTGATCGATTTTATTTTGTAATTGTTTAACAGTACTATTTTGTAATTGCTGATGTTTTTTTTCTAATGCACGATATTTTGCTTCTGATTCTTCCCATTTTGCTTTATAATCTAGATTCATTCGATCTTCATTGAGATTCGTTGTTTGAACTAAGAAATGAAATTTTCAAAAAATACATAAATAAATAACGAAATCTAAATTATATTTTTAACCGTTTGGTTGTTGTTGTTGTGGTGGTCGATTGATACGTGGATCTTCTTTTTGTACAGTATCACGTTCCTCAGTTCGAGATGTATATTTTCTTAATAAATCTATTAATGAAGGATTTGTCGAATCATTTTTAGAGGGAAAATTTTTATCCATAAATAAATTATTTTTTATCTAAAATGATAAACTACAAATCTAATATCACATTTATATTATTGAATTGAAAATTTCCTAAAACGAATAATTATCTAAAATACACAGTCAATAGAAAATAGAAATGTATACAAAACTATAAAATATCTAAATTGAAAGAGTCAATTGTTGTATATTATAGATATTTAATCCTTCATGAGTTTGAACAACAATTGAAGCATATTTTTTACTATTAATATCACGAATTAAACAAATGTTACAAGCAATATTCATAATAGAATGTTCTTTATAATCTTGTTCATTCGTTTGATCAATTAAAAATAAACCTTCATCACCATCAGCAAATAAATAACAATAATGATCAATAGGAAATAATAAACCAATCCAATTACTTAAACCAGCTTCTTGTTGAATTGTTCTACCACGACGTAATTTATTCATTGTTAATATATCAAATATATCAATTCTCCATGAAAAATTACTTTGTTTTATTGTCATACCAATACATTGATCTATCGCTCGTATACAATTAATACCTGTATCAAATATTTCAATTAAATCTTTTTTAAACCATGTATTTAATAAAATTCCATTTGTTGAAGAAGAATTAAATTCCCATTGTTCAATTGAAGACCCAAATAGATAACAAATAAATATATATTTTAATGTATATGTTATTGACCAAATTGTATTTGAACATTGATGAAATAATTCAATTTGTTTATTTGATGATAATGAATAAATTGTATTTGAACTTGATAGAAGAAAACAATTTGTTATTGAATAAAAACATATATCTGATATTTGACATTGAATTAATGGAAAAAGTGTTGTGGAAAATAATATTTCAAATGTTGGAAGTTGAAATAATATTAATGTTTGATGATGATAAATAAGTAAATGATTATAATCATCTGTTGCCATTGGACATGATGACATTGATGGAAGAGTAAATGTTGATAGTGGACGATCTTTATCTAATTTTAATATTTCATTAGAATTAGTTGTTAATGTACTCATATGAGAAGATAATTCATCGATATTTGTTTCCATCAGTAAGTTTTTCTATCTAAATAAATTTAACCCTTTTTGACATTCATATTAATGATATATTTATTTTTCTTTTATGTTATTTTAATTCATTACATAGTCTTCGTTACTTAACTATTATATAGATTATAATTATATTTACTTAATTCTTTCCTTTAGACGTCTAAACGTATAAAAGGTGAAAGTTTATGAAGCTTTTTTTCATATCACCTGGCCTTCTGCGCATTTATATAAAAAATAATTTATTTATCTGTACAATGAACTCAAAATGAATAATATAATTAAAGTAGAAATTCGATTGATGTTTCTTCAAATTGGTAAGAGGATTTACATTTTAGAAAGAAATAATAAACTAATTTATTTTTAGGTCCTATTGAAACTCAATTTGAAAGATATACTGCTGATATTGCAATTGAAGCTCGATGGTTAGCTACTCCAAATTTTCTATCATCGATTAATGAACATGATCGATATATATTATCATGTGGTCATGCAGTTCGTTTACTTAACTATAGAGACGATGAAAATAATTGGTATCCACAACTTATAATTATGAATACAAGTGTTGATCCAGATAATCAACATATTCGATATAGTTTACGAAAAGATCGAATAAATGGTTTATATTATATGCGTGAACATCGTTTAGTAAAAGGTTTCTTTTATTCACCATTTAATTTTCATCATTTTCCACATGATATTCAAGAATTAAGGATTTCATTTGGTTCATCAGAATCTGGAACAAAAATAAAATTAGAAGCTGCTTCTGATATAGCATCTGGTATTAATACACAAGCATTTATTTCTTTACATGAATGGATTTTATATGAACATGTTGAATCATGTATACGAAAAGTAAAAGGATTTTCATTTCAAACAGATGAAGATGGTGAATTAGATGTGCCTGGACATGAAAAAGAAAGATCTATATTAACAATATCTTGTCATGTAGGTAAGAAAAAATAAATTGATATAAAATTTAAAAGACAAAAAAAACGATTAAAACATTATACATAGCTCGTCGATCTAAATATATGTTTTGGAATGGATATTGGATTAGTTTTATAATGACTATAATAGGTTTTGCTGCATTTTCTATCACAGCTGAGTACGAAGAAAATGTTTTCTAGGAGGGTTTCAAACAATTAATCTTATTATTTAGTAATACAAATCAACGTCTAAGTGTTGCCTTTACACTTATATTAACTCATATTGCTTTTCGTTGGACTATATGTGTTTCTCATTTAACAGTAAATGTTTTCTATTTAATAATGATTAAATATCTATCTTAAACTAATTATTTCTCTTTTTAGCCTCCAATTGCATATCTAACAGCCTTAGATAAATATAGTATAGGATCGATGTTTTTTGTTATACTTCTCGGTGCTTGGCATGCTATTATTGGTTCTCTTCTTTTCACTTATAACTGGCAATCAACACCTGATCCCTCCAATTATTGGTTATGGATTGATCGTTATATATTATTTACATTTGCTGGAATTTATATTATTGCTCATATCATTCTAATAATTTGGTTTCTTATCGTTCCATTTGGACTTCGACGAAAGATGCAGCTGAAAGATACGATTTATCGTGAATCATTACCACAATGTTCAACAATAACATATTCGTCGTAATTTTTGACCTGTCTATATTTATCTGTATAATAAAAACCGAATTCTAAGACATGAAAATAGGGATGTTACTCAAATGTTTTATTCTATTTTCTTTCTGAATTGCTAATCGAATAAATAAACAAAACAAAAGAAAATTTTTAATCTTATATTTTTTAAACCAATAAAAACAAACGAACAAGAAAAAAAAA